AACCTCAAATCACAGCTTAGACCAGCCAAGCATGAAGCTGCTTCAGTCATATATGAGTCTAGATTAACATGGGCCTGTATAGAAATGAAGTTATTTGTTTCTTCTGTGTGTGTATTACTCTTGGTATATCTAAAACATAACATGAAGTCAAATAGCTGCCTATAAATGTTTATGTGTAAATATTTATATGCCATCTAGGTTGGAGTTACAAAGTGAGGAAGTAAATGAATCATTATATTCTACTTTCAAGGAAAGTTTTCATGAAGTTTTGAGAATGTCAGCTATCAGAACATTTTATTTTAATATTTTTATTGAAGTATATAGTTAGTTTACAATATCGTGTCAATTTCTAGTGTACAGCACAATGCTTCAGTCATACATGAACATATACATATATTCGTTTTCACCATAAGTTATAGGTATTGAACATAGTTCCCTGTGCTATCAGTATGAATTTGTTGTTTAAGATCTGCAATCTCAAACTTCCAGTTTATCCCTTTCCACCCCCTTCCCCCACTGCTAACCATAAGTGTGTTTTATATGTCTGAGTCTGTTTCAGTTTTGTAAATAAGTTCGTCTTTTTTTAGATTCCACATATAAGTGATATCATACAGTATTTTTCTTTTTCTGGCTTCACTTAAAATGACATTCTCCAGGTCCATCTATGTTGCTGCAATTGGCATTATTTTATTCATTTTTATGGCTGAGTGGTATTCCATTGTGTATAAATATACCACAACTTCTTTATCCAGTTATCTGTTGATGGATGTTTAGGTTGCTTCCACGTCTTGACTATTGTAAATAGTGCTGCTATGAACATGGGGGTGCATGTGTCTTTTTGAATTAAGGTTCCCTCTGGATATATGCCAGGAGTGGGATTGCTGGATCATATGGTAAGTCTGTTTTTAGTCTTCTGAGGAATCTCCATACTGTTTTCCGTAATGGCTGCACCAAACTACATTCCCACCAAGAGTGCAGGGGGGTTTCCTTTTGTCGCCACCTTCTCCAGCATTTATGGTTTGTGGACTTTCGAATGATGGCCATTCTGACTGGTGTGAGGTTGTAGTTTTGATTTGCATTTCTCTGATAATTAGCGATATTGAGCATTGTTTCATGTGCCTCTTGATCAATGGTAAGTCTTCATTGGAGAATTGCTTGTTTAGGTCCTTTGCCCATCTTTGGGTTGGGTTGTTTTTTAAAGTTGTATGAGCTGTTTGTATATTCTGGAAATTAAGCCCCTGTCAGTCTCATCTTTTGCAAATATTTTCTCCCATTCTGTAGGTTGTCTTTTTGTTTTGCTTATGGTTTCCTTTGCAAAAGCTTATAGGTTAAATTGGGTCCCATCTGTTTATTTTTGCTTCATCTCTTCCATTTTAAAACAAGAATTACTTATCATTTAGAGACTATCAAAGCTTAATATTGTAGAAGAAATTTTGTGCTCTTTTTAGGGTGGCAGGTAAAACCGATCAGTGGTCCATTCTGTAAGATCTTTATCCTTATGGCCAGCCAATACTTTCCAACATTTAGATAAAATCTTTTGTCTTAGCATTAGGGATCCTTGTGTAAAAAGTGAACATCTTCTAGTACCCTAAAAACTAGTCATCCCTTTGATTTAGGGGGGAAAAAGCAGTTTGGCAGCCCTTGTTTGGCTAGTCACATTCCTCAGTAGTTTTTTGATCTCAAGTGCCACGTCCACAGAAACACACAGAGTAGCTGCTTGCCAGTTGTATGTTTGGACTGGATAACCTGGCCGAGCACAGTGCCTGGCACATTCCAGGCACTCAGTGCACACTTTGGTGAACGGATGTTTCACATGTGAAAGAAAAGCTTTACTGTGTGAATTGTTCAGAGAGCAGCCTCCAAGTTGGCTGTAGATTGATGGACAGGAAAACATAATCCATGTACCTTTATTTGCACGGAAACAGATATGTAGAAAATACATTTAGAAAAGAGCCTGTACTTCCTCCCCAATCTCTATCCCAGTCGCTCTCCCCTCCTGTGCTTTTAAAAGTGAGCAATTGGCCACTAGTGTCAGGAAAGCCTAACAGTTGATTCAAATAGTTGTCAAACCACTGGAAAAATGCTTCCTTCCCATTGTGCTTTTTTTGGACACTATAGATATGGTAAATCATGAACTACATTATAAAAATACCTCTTTTATGCCCAAACATTCAGTAGGAGGGAGTGACATTTCTTTTATTACCTTGGTAAATGTTTTTAAGGTGTTTAGCAATAAGCCGCCTTTTTGTCAATACTGCTAAGATGTGGTGCTTGATAGGAATTTACTAGAAAATCTACAGTTAAAAATACCAGAAAGAGAAGGGCTATATGTTTAGTCAGCTAACATGACAGATCAGTTTGAGTAGCACATGCTTTATTTCCCTGTGATTTTCTTGACCTTTTGTGTTACAGAAAAAGAGTGGTAATGAAGTTTGAAAAGTTTATTTTCCGTTATTGCCCATCAGCAAATGTTTGTAGCATTTTTTCCCATCTTTTGAATAGAGAAATAATTGTTTCAAATAATAGAAAAAATAACGCTTAAGACATTTCTAAAGAAAGGAGGATAAGATTTTAATACAAATGTGAACAAGGTCATCGTTAGGCCTTAGAATTAACTTTCTTTTCAGCTGTGGGATTTTTTTTCCTCCTCCACAGGTAAAAACTTCAGAATTCTGTCATGTGTCTTATGATGCTGAATTTTAACATGAAGACTATTTTTAAAAGTTCATTTTTTAAAGAATAGTGTTTAGAATTATTTCCTTCTGTGTTTTCTGGCTTACTGATACAGACCCATATTTGTTGCTGTTTACTTTTATGTCCTACCTTCCTTTCTTTCCTTAATTGAGTGATAATGGATTTTTTAAAAGTATTGTTCTAACAGACATGCTGTAAAAGTCAGCCACTCATTCAAAGATACTAGGAAGAGAACTTTACCAGAGAGACTGCAAGCTTCATGAGTGGATGAGGGTTCCCTTAGATGGCATTTTCAGATAAAAGAAATTCTTTCTTAACCAAAAAATAGATATCATCAGACTAGTACGGTTTAGCACGCTGCTAAATTTCACAGAAATTGTAACCTAGACTGGTAATAGCAGATGCTACAGGGGAAACTAATGTAACTTCTCCTTTCTGGACTTGTGGAAAAACTGCTGCAAATACTAAGTTACCACACAGTGTATCTTTTTGTGGTGGAGCACTGTAGTATATTTATGCCCTCTGCATACTGCATTCTGGCTTGGAATTTTGGTTCGTGGTTTCATCCATTGTTACCAGTGATGCTAGACTCTCCCGAGAGTTAAATACAGTGGAGCTGTATTTATGTAAAGCGAGTGTGCTTGGTTGTTCCAGCGGCTGTTTCCTTGCTGCTTACCTCCCACTTTGCTTCCATCTGTGTGTGTGGCAAAGGGATTGTCCTAAAAAATACAGGCTTCCTCTGAACACAAATGTGTATTTGTACACCAGTAAGTCTGCAATCTCCTGAACTGGGGTGCTGTTAATAATTGTACTTTTAAAAAAGCTTTTCGAGCTTGGACGGGCTTAGCAGTTGTTCTGGGGAAACCCACGTTCGCATTCCCGATTTCTGTAAAGGCAGTAACAATCACAAAAAAAATTAACACGTATTAAAGTGGAAAGGTGAAAATTTGTAAGGTATCTATTTAGAGAAGACTTTCATTTTTAGGTCAAGACGGGAGATGAATTGTGTATCTGTTTGGAATCTATGGTTAACATAATTGTCCCAGCCTTTTTTTTTTTAATGACTCCACTTAATTGAAAGATTACAAAGATGGTGATGCACCACACATCCATGGAATATTCATCCTGAAACCTGGAGTCCTGCTCATTTTAATTTGTTTGCCATGCTTAATGTATCTGAGAAGCCAAAGTGAAATTACAGAATACTTTTCTGTCTTAATTATCCAGGATTTTTTTTTTAAAGTAACCTACTTTTGTACTAAGCAGTGCCTGAGACAGATATTTTTACCATAAAAAGTACGGCACTGGGGTGGTAGTTCTGTAGGTGATGGCAGCTATTTAAAATCAGCCGCTAGGTACTCTTAACCCTTTAAAATTACTACCAGGTATTCAAAATGTTTAGCCATGTGCTTATAAAAAGGGACACATGAATGATATTTTTGTGTTTAACTCTGGTTATAAAATGTCATTTGATTCTTCTAACAGCATATTCAGTGGTTACCAAGCCTTACATCTTGACCTAAAAATGTAGAATGCCACTATAGAAAGTGTCACAAAGAGGAAATAGCTAGATAAAGCTGTATTGGTCATATTTGAAAACTGAAAAAGATACATTTGTATGTGTATATTTACAAGAAATAATTAGACTTTAAATTTGGTTTTTTTAAATTAGCAGTAAAAAGTACTGACAGGAGAACTGTGATCTGAAAGAATTCTTTCCCCACACCCTGCTCATGAAACAGCTATTAAAAGTATGACTTTCTAGGAAATGATTGGTGTGGGTTTTTAAGAAAGCAAATGTGATAAAATATATGCAGCCTCCTATAGGCGAAAAGAAGAAAATGGAAGAGAGAAGGGAACCAAAAAAAAAAAAATTTAGAGGCAAAGGAATTAACAATAAGAAGGAAATATACAGGAAAAAACATTATAATGTGCCAAGCTGTTTATATATGAGGAGAGGTCTGTCTTAATATTTGCAGCAATCCTACGAGATAGTCACAAAATTCCTTTCTCACAAAGCAGGAAGTAAAGATATGAAATGTTTAAACAAATTTCGTAAAGACACATAGCAAATTAGTTTTCAGAGCTGTGAAAGAAACTATGGCTGATATCTGAGGTGGAAAAAAGGTCAACCCTGGCTCCATTCTCTAAAGCTAGTTACTGTGCACGAGAAGCCCAGGCAGGCCACCCAGTGGTAGCCTAATGAGTCTTCTGGGCTGTGGAAGGACAGGGTGCAGGCGCCCTCCACTCCATGCAGATGGGAGGGGGGCAGAGTCGTGGCCCAGCCTCAGAGAATGGGGAGGGGAGAGGATGAAAATGATTAATTTTCATGAATTTTTCCACAACTTATTTCTGACCTTTCATCTTCCAAGAATCAAAACAATCTTTAGAATCTTCTAGCAGGTGTTTCCAAACACATGTCCTTCTGCCAAGGTATGCTGGCATTGCCTAAAGGGGTAAGGCTCCCAACGGCGCCATCCTACCGTGTGGTAAGTTGTGTGGTCTTGTGCAAATCATTTAGCTCCCTGTTCGTCTGTGTGCCACCTGTTAAAAGAGAGCAGGACTTAAGTCTCCTGTTTGAATCGGAGGTTCATTTTATCTCCTCCTTATGGCCAAGTTGCTACCTTAGAAACTGCCTTTAACCTTAATTCCTTTAGCTGTAAAAATAGTCATATCATTTCTATAAAAGGCAGTTATTCTTAGGGCTAAGATTTTGTTCTCTCTGGAATTGGAGCCATGAGTGCTATTGGCATATAAAAATGCTTTATACATTTAGCAAAAAAGTTATAAAAGTCATCCAACTATAGAGATGGTGGTGGTGAACTGGCTATTGTTGAACCCTGTATATGAAGCAGTAGGAAACTCGGAGTCATCCCTGACCCAGGAAGTAGACTTTGGCAGATGACTCTGAAGGCAGAAAATGTTTCCAGATCCACTTTGATTCAGTACAATACTGGCCAATGTTTACAAGTCCTTCCTTATGGCATTTCCTTGAGGTAATTATGGGCTATTTCCTTCAAAGTAATTGAAATCATCACCATTAGAAACTTCTGAATATTTTTCCTACCAGAAATGTAAATTGTTTGACAATTGTTCTGAACTATTTTCAGGAGGAAAAAGAATCTGTAGTGATGCTCTAGATTTAGCCTTTAATGCCTTGATAGAAACTTGAAGAGATGCTGAAGCTGTGTCATTAACATGCCACTTACCTACCTGGTCCTGGCTTGACACACAACAGCATACCAGGAAATGTTGCAGTTGTCACTGTAAGAAGGTAAATTTTAGGCCGTTAGCTTTCTGAATGTCAGTAATGTTTAGGAAAAAAAAAAGATGCCAGTATTCATACATTTTTACCTAAGAAAACAGGATAGTTTTCATCTGTATTTCATAGTCATCATATGCCAAAATAATTCACCAGTGTCTTTCTTTAATCTCTACCGTAGTGCCTGGCACAGAGTTGGTACTCAGTCCATGCTGACTGAATCAGCACTGAACAAAACATATGCTACTTAGAAGGGCATGACAGCAGTTTTTTCCTTTGACTAAGAAACATGAGCAAAGATGTTTTTTCTGCTTAACGATTAAGGTACTATTGGATTAAGTTGCTTCCTTTCTAGCCATTTCTAATCAGAGAGAACCAGGTAAGAAGAGTCAGGACCAGAAGAGGGTAAGGAGGACAGTTCTGTCCAAACACATGCTGTTAGCAGCTGAAGCTGTAAAATGAAAAGAGTGGTCTTCTTGTTTGTTAGGACACCTGTTTGGTCTTACCTGCAAGTAATTCAAGTGCCAAAAATTATTACTTTAGGTGTGGAAACAGCTTGCGAATATATATTCACACATTCAAGCTAAGATTATACTTAAAGTGCTTCCTGATGGTGATATTTATTTCTAAAAACGGGGCAGTGCACAGCTCACCTTCTAAATCTAACATTATGATCACCTCGGGTTGTTTTTTTTTAATAGTCAACTTAGATGAAAAAAGTGTAATAGGATGAAGCAGATACATTTAAATTTCTAGAAACAGTTGTGTTTTCATGCTGTTCTAATCAAGAATTTGTTGTGTTCGTGAAATAAAGTGATCTAACGTTTCTGTGAAGATTATGGTATTCTAGAGAGGAAAATACTTGGCAGAACAATTTTTTTTAATGAAATTTTCACAGATCAAAAAAGCACCAAGCTATATTAGAATACTGTGAAACCTTCTGTGAGGGGGATTCTGTATTTTAAGGACAAATACAGCACTGTTAGTCCCATCTCCATAGAAAGGGGCGTGTGTGCTGACAGCTAGAGAGCACTCCATCTGAAAGCAGCAGAACACACACTCTTCAAGTGTGCGTGGGACATTCTCTAGAGCTGACCACATGCTGGCCCACAAAGCTAGCCTCAGTGAAGTTAAGAAAATTGAAATTGTACCAAGCATCTTCTCTGACCAGAATGCTCTAAAGGTAGAAATCAAGTATAAGAAAAAAACTGCAAACATGTGGAGGCTAAACTATATCCTACTAAGTAACCAATGGATCACTGCAGAAATCCAAACATACTTTCACACAAATGAAAACACAACAATTCAAAACCTCTGGGACACAGCAAAAGCAGTTCTAAGATGGAATTTTATAGTAATACAAGCCTACCTCAGGAAACCAAAAAAAACCTCAACCTAGTTAACTTTACACCTAAAGCAGCTAGAGAAAGAAACAAAATCCAAAGTTAGTAGAAGAAAAGAAATTCTAAAGATTAGAACAGAAATGAATGAAATAGAGACTGAAAAGATAACATTCATAAACCTTTAGTCAGACTCATCTAGAAAAAAGTGAAAGGGCACAAATTAACAAAATCAGCAATGAAAAAGGAGAACTCATCAATGAATTCAGTAAAGTTGCAGGATACAAAATATACAGAAATCAGTTGCATTTCTATACACTAACAACAAAATAGCAGAAAAAGAAATTAAGGAAACAATACCATTCACCATTGCACCAAAAAGAATAAAATATCTTGGAAATAAACTTACCCAAGGAAGCAAAAGTCCTGTACTCTGAAAACTGTAAGACACTGATGAAAGAAATTGAAGATGACATAAACAAATGGAAAGATATATCATGTTCTGGGATTGGAAGAATCAAAACTGGTAAAATGGCCATACTACCCAAGGCAGTCTATAGAGTCAGTGTAATCCCTATTAAATTATCAATGACATTTTTCACAGAGCTGAAACAAAAAATGTTAAAATTTGTATGGAGGGAAGCATACATAGAATCTAAAGTGTGCCAGGTCCAAAGGCAGAGGCAGTGATTTCATAGGAACCTGGGCCAGGCCTGCCTGCTGGTTTTGGAGGCTCACCTGGGATGTAGGTGACAGTTGCAGCTCACCCAGAGGACATAAAAGCTGGTGGCCGACATTCTGAAAGTGTTAATCTACATGAGCTTTCCGGAGGCCAACATCTTGATTGGGTCATTAGCACCAAGACCCAGCCCTACCCAACAGCCTGCAGGGAAGCCTCAGGCCAAACAACATACAGGATGGGAACACAGCCCCACCCATCAGCAGATTTCAAACCCACAAAGGACTTTAGACAGGCCCTACCCACCAGGGGTCAGGACCAAGTTTCACCCAGCAGTGGGCAGGCACCAGCTCCTCCTGCCAGGAAACCTGCATAAGCCTCTAGTCCAGCCTCATCCACCAGGGGGTGGATACCAGAAATAAGAAAACAACAATCCCAGAGTCTGTGAAAAATTCTCAAATACAGGCCAGACTCTACATTAGGACCTGCTGGACCCTAGCCCTTGGGTGACAAGAGAGTAGTGTACTGCTGAGACTCATGAGATGTCTCCCACAGAGAGCCTCCTTTCCAAGGTCAAGAAACCTAACTAAGCTACCTAAAAATACAAATAGAAAGATAAACAATATGAGGCAGCAGAGGATATCTCCCAGGCCAAGGCACAAGATAAAATCCCAGAGGAAGAAATGTGATGAGGAGATAGGCAATTTATCTGAGAAAGAGTTTAAAGTAATGATGGCGAAGATGTTCAGAGAACTCAAGAGGAGTATAGATGCACAGAGCGAAGTTTTTAGCAAGAAGCTGGAAAATATAAATAATATCCAGAGTTAAAGAATAAAATCACTGAAATGAATAACACTAGCAAGAATAGACTAAATGAGGCAGAAGAACGGATCAATGAGCTAGAAGACAGATTACTGGAAATCAGTACTTCAGAACAGAAAAAAGAATGAACAGAAATGAGGGTAGTTTTAAGAGAACTCTAGGACAACATAAAGTGCACTAATATTCCCATTATAGGGGTCCCAGAAAGAGGAGAGAGAGAAAGGACCTGAGAAAATTTGGCGTGAGATAATAACTGGAAACGTACCCAACTTGGGAAAGGAAACAGTCACCCAAGTCCAGGAAGCACAGAGAGTTCCACACAGGATCAGCCCAAAGAGGAACACACCAAGGCACAGAGTCGTCAAATTGACAAAAAATTAAGGATAAGGAGAAAATGTTACAATTAGCAAGAGAAAAGCAACAAATAACATACAAGGGAACTCCCATGAGGTTATCAGCTGATTTTTCAGCAGAAACTCTACAGGCCAGAAGGGAATGGCAAGTTATATTTAAAGTGACGAAAGGGAAAATTCTACAACCAAGATTACTCTATCCAGCAAGGCTCTCATTCAGACTTGATGGAGAAACCAGAAGCTTCACAGATAAACAAAAGCTAAAAGAATTCCGCACCACCAAACCAGCTTTACAACAAATATTAAAGGAACTTCTCTAGTCATCAAACCATAAGAAAAGAGAACAAAAAGAAAAACGATTAAAAAAAGACCTACAATAGATTGCTTTGGGAGTTCAGGGTCTTTATAGTTCCATACAAATTCTGGAATTTCTGTGAAAAATCTTATGAGTACTTTGGATGTGTAGCCTGCTTTGGGTAGCACAGCCATTTTGATAATGTTGATTCTTCCATTCCGAGAGCACAAGATTTCTTTCCATTTCTTTGTATCATCTTCAGTTTCCTTCATCAGTGTTTTACAGTTTTCAGAGTATAGATAACCTCCTTGGTTAAGTTTATTTGTAGGTATTTTATTCTGTTGGATGCAATGGAAATGTTTATGCCAGTTATAAAATTCCGGTTTTTGAAGTGAGAAAAAGAAAAGTGAATGAAGGGCTGCAAATGGCCAAATATCCTTCTTATAGGTGAGTTGTATCCCACTGCAATATATATGCTGCATCTTCTTTACCCATTCATCTATTGATGTGCACTTATGATGCTTCCATATCTTGGCAATTATAAATAATGTTGCTGTTTGGCAAGGTGTATGTATCTTTTTGAATTCTTCTTTTGTGGCTTGCCTTATTCCTGTAATAACTATGTAAGTTTAAAAAGCTAAAGCTCTAAACGTTCTTACAAACAATGAACAGTCTATATATATGTAAATTTAAAAATGTGGTACATTGTGTATATGTATTCACATTATATAATTATATATATAATTATATAATGCAATACATTATATATGTGCAAACAGTAACAATTCCACCTAATAAAAATGAAAACTGAAAAAACACACACAAAAAAGAATCCAACTCTGCACAACAATGTGAATTTAGTACAGTTAAGATGGTAACTATTTTTCAGTGATGTGCAGCTGATTTACAGTGTTAGTTTCAGTTGTAAAGTAATTCAGTCATACATATATACATACACATTTTCAGATTATTTTCCATTACAGCTTGCTTAAAGAAACTGAATATAGTTTCCTGTGCTATACAGTAGGTCCTTGTTGTTTATCTATTTTATGTATAGTAGTGTGTATCTGTTAATCCCTAACTTCTAATGTATCTCTACCCCTCTTTCCCCTTTGGTGACCATAGTTTGTTTTCTATGTCTGTGAGTCTATTTCTGGTTAGTATCTTTTTAAAATGTGTATCTGTGTTTTTTAGATCCACTATAAGTGTATCATATGGTATTTGTCTTTCTCTGTCTGACTTATTTAACTTAATATGATAGTATCTAGGTCTAAGACGGTAAATTTTATGTTATGTATTCCTTTTACCACAATTACATTTTTTAATTTTAAGAAAAGAATCTATCTCTTTTTCATTAAGCCAAACATTAAAAACATTTACAGAAAATACAGAACAATGCCACTCTTCTCCCTGATCTTTTGTTTTGGGAAATATAGCTATTTTTGTTAAAATGTTTTGTATATATAAATGTGAGTTATTACTGTTAATTTTAAAATAATAGTTTAAAAAAGTA